GATTGCCAGGCAGGTGCTTAAGCCACTGAGCTATATCCCCAGCCCTTAAAGTTGAGAAGAATTTTTTTTTGGAGGGGCCCTCTCAGGATGCCTTAAGGGCAGGTCTGGTAAGGCATGAGGATCTGGGGATCGAACCACAGAATTCTGAGGCTGACTGCTTTGCTTAAGGAGGCACTTAAACAACTGAGCTATCGGGCGGGGCCCCACTGAGAATGTTCTTGAAGCCAAGGAGACTCGTTCCATGGCTTAACGCCTCCCTGGCAAGTGCGAGGTCATGAGCTGGGATTGTAGTACCAAAAATAAAAACAGAATGTTCTTGAAGAATTTGCTTGCTTGCCGTTTATAGCATGACCTTACGTGAGGAAGCATAGAAACTTCATTGCTGTCATGCGTTGTTGTGTTTCTTCTGTTAACTGGTCTGTTGATGTGTGTGATAGCCAACCCCTGTGCACAGGTTGGACAGCGTCCATAGGTTCAGCCAGCCACAGACCGAAATATTCTGAAAAACCTACGTCTGTACTAAATGTACTTTCTTCTTGTTATTTCCTAAATAATGTAACTGTTTACCTAGAGTTTTCATGGTGATGTGTGAGTATTCTAGAGATGATTTAACGTATACCTAAGGGGCCAGGCAGTGGCTCACGTGGGAGGCTGAGGCAGGAGGATCCCTTTGGGTTCAAGGCCAGCCGAGGCTGTGTAATGAGTTCACGATCAACCTAAACTGTAAAGCAAGAGCCTGTCTTTATGGACAGTCTGCACAAAAGGGCTACCTAGTTCCTAGTAAGCGCCATGCTCTTCATATCAGCTCCTGTGGACTTAGAGCCCACCCCCGCGGGAGCTGCGCAACAGCATTCCATGAGTTTACTCGATATCTTGAGCACCAAAGCTTAGCTGTCAAGAATAGCTCAGCGAGCAGCCCAGACAAGTGCTTTGGTGGTGAGGGTAGAACTGCAATGGGAGGGTAAAGCGGGGACCAGACAGCCCAGATGGCGCTGTCCTGTGACAGCCATGCAGCAGCTCTGAGCAGGCAGGAGGAGGCCTGGTGTCCAGCTGAGCCCCTACCTGGGAGAAGGCTGGATCAGAGCGAGGGCAGGACCTCAGCAGTCCAGGGCCGGGTGGGGGGTTGGGGCCACTTACTATGCTTTGTACAAGACCCTTAGGGAGAGCAGAAAGAAATGCAAGGAGCAGAGGAATGCTGATGGCCGCCCAAGTGTCAGCCCTTGCTCTCTGTGACAATGCCTGAGAGCCACCATAAGTAGGACAGATGGTTCTGGCACAGAGCTTCACCATGCCCAGGTGGCCTCAGCTTTGGCCCTGGTGTGCAGAGCAGCAGGGTGGGGACATGTGGCACCACAGCTTGGAGAAAAAGAGGAGGGGGCCGCCCTATTATACCTTTCAAGGGCAGCCCCCCTGTAGATAACATCAGGCTCCTGCCTCCCCACAGCGCCATGAGCTGGGGGCTAAGCTGTTAGCACAAGACTTGGGACATGTAAGACCCCAAGCCTTTAACATCCTAGGGAATACTGGCCAGAACAAAGGAGATGATAGTGCCCCCACCCCTTTGATTTGAGACAGAGAATTGCCCAGATTGGGCTTGAACTTGCAGCCCCCCAT